AAACTAGCGGTAAAAAACGACGTTTCGATCTCTCTGAGATCATTTTCAAGTTGAAGAAAAAAAGGAATGAAATATACATATATAAGTACAAATTAGGGCGTGAGAATGTCAAACGATAAATTATGTAAATACAAGCGCTAAAATGTAAGTGTTAAAATAATAAAATGCTATAAAAAAAAACCTATATAAATAACTTTGCACGGATTGAATCTGACTGTTTGTTCAAGGTTGGCTTAAGCTCCTTTATAGAGAGCATTTCGTAGATCAGGCAGTCGAATTTACTTTGGCACTTTCTCAAGATCTTAAAGTCACGATATATGTCACTTGGGACTGTTCCATGCTGCTCTTTGATGTGATTCCCGATTGAAGACGATCCTTTGTGTTCCTCAACGCGTTGATAGAGGTGTCGGCACGTGTCCCAAGTGACATATATCGTGACTTTAAGATCTTGAGAAAGTGCCGAAGTAAATTCGACTGCCTGATCTACGAAATGCTCTTTATAAAGGAGCTTAAGCCAACCTTGAACAAAAGCTCAGATTCAATCCATGCAAAGTCATTTATCTGGGTTTTTTTATAGTATTTTATTTTAACACTTACATTTTAGCGCTTGTATTTACATAATTTATCGTTTGACATTCTCACGCCCTAATTTGTACTTATATATGTATATTTCATTCCTTTTTTTCTTTAACTTGAAAATGATCTCAGAGAGATCGAAACGTTGTTTTTTAACGCTAGTTTTTATTCTGAAATGTTTTTCAAAAAAACTACTTATAAAAATGTGTATAGAATGATTTTTTTCCAACCTTTGTGACCAAGGTTGTAGATGAGGTAAATATGCATTCTGTCAGCAGAGGTTAAATTTAAACTTACTGTTGTCGTNTACTTATATATGTATATTTCATTCCTTTTTTTCTTTAACTTGAAAATGATCTCAGAGAGATCGAAACGTTAAAAACTACTTATAAAAATGTGTATAGAATGATTTTTTTCCAACCTTTGTGACCAAGGTTGTAGATGAGGTAAATATGCATTCTGTCAGCAGAGGTTAAATTTAAACTTACTGTTGTCGTGATCAAAGTTAAAGTTGTGTCCCAGCTCATGCGATAGAGCCAACCAAGGACCCAGCGAGCCCCAATAGTTCCACTGCAGAGAAAATAAGGAAAACATGTTTGTTCTTAATGCAACAACGATCGATTAGTTAATCAAGCTTTTAGGACCCGCCCTTTTTTTCCCTAATTTTCAGGTGCAAGGCGGTTAAAACGAAAGACACTCGTAACTTAGAACGCTTCAGACACGCATGAATCACGAATCACTCGTGGAGCTTGTCTTACGCTTCTAAGAAATCCAAAGTGACTGGGAAGTTTCTTGCGCGCTTTCCAGGAAAATATTGGGGAAAGTGGACGAATAATACGGTAAAATACGATGACAGCTCACCGCATCAACTCCAAGCGACCTTTTTTTGCATATTTCTCCTTTGTATGCCATTCCTCCATAATCGTCCCACATTGTACCCCTGGAAGTCAAATGAATTCGCAACATCATGATATACGACAATTGTATAATTTCCAGAAGTGAATATAAGAATTGGACATTCTGATTGGTCGAAAAGCTCATCTTATGAGGCTATATTCGCCCCGCTAGAGCTTGACTACTAAGCTCGCCATCTTTGCCATCACGGCAAGGAAACATGGCGGACAGTTGCTGAATGATGTTTTCATTTATTCGAAAGACATCACTCCAAGGCCAGGATATTTGAAAGGATGGAGGATTTTTAAAATGACTGCTGTCTCCCTTGGACCAAAACTCTTTTCAAGAACTCGTATCCAAGGCTTTTAAGAATCGAAAACGTAGTGGTTGCGTCGATCGCCAACAGGTTAGATCGATTGACCGAAATTTATTTTTCTTCAAACTAAAGCTACTCATTTTTAGGCGATAATGACAACTGTGAATGAAGTCAACAACGATAAAACAAAGGTACCGGATGAATTTATTTTTCAGTTCGTTTGTTCTACTGCCGAACTCGATGAGTAAGTTGATTAACAATCGATGTACATGTAAGCTTATTATTAAAACTACGGCTGCATACGTTATGTTTTAGTCCGTTATTTTGTAGTCCTAGATATTCACCTCTGAAAATAATACTAAAACAACTAGTCGTTATGGCAATAGTCAGTTAATTTCAAGCATTTTAAAAAGGTAGTGTATTCATCTTTTTCTCTTTGGGTCTGAAATGAAGTACCTCGGTTGACTCTACATATTAAAGATTTTGAAAAAAATTGAAACTGATATAAACAACTGGCTTCACGGGTATTGCAGACGGGTAAAAAACTTAGGGTGGCTGAATGAACCAAACTGTTCCCGCATGAAGTGGTCTTAATCGAATGTCAGTGTGAAGTCTCGCGTAAAATACCTAATGGCTTAACCAGACCACTTAGTAACGTAAGGACCAAAAAGTTTTACCTGGTTCCTACGCTTACAGATCCGACACTGTCGACCCGTGATTCACCGTACACAAAGTGAAGGAGGTTTCACTCTTTTTCTCACCTTAGAAGATGAACACTGTCATATGCCACACCAGCTTGGTTGCTTAAGCGATGATTCTCAAAGTTCCTCAAATCTTCGCCGGCTTTCTTCACGAAAGGTATGTGATCCTTGTCCGTCCAAATTTCCAATGCTGATAACACAACTCGAATGTTAATTTTCTGATAAATCTGTAACACGAATGAGAACAAACAAAGAATAAACAACTAAATTAGAGCTGGAGAGTTCTTGTTCATGGATGAGGGAGAAGCCTGTTGTTGACAACTCTTAGCCAGCTTGATTGCTTTGTCTCGTCGTGCTAAGGTAGGTAGGTTAAGTCCGCACACGAGCCAAGTGGCCTATGAGGCCGGAGTTTATCCCGGTTTCCGTAGCATGAGGCCACTAGGACTATTTCTACTCCCCCCTGGATAGGATGCTAGTCCATGGCAGGGTTACCCCCAGCATTAAATTCACCGGTTTATACATTTATACACCTGGGTGGAGAGAGGCACTGTGATAGTAAAGTGTCTTGCCCAAGAACACAACACAGTGGCACCTGTCAGAGCTCGAGCCCGGACCGCTCGATCCGGAAACGAGCGCACTAACCATGAGGCCACCGCGCCTCTACCTTGTCGTGCTAAGAAACTGGTAAAACCGGTTTTCATTAGAACTTACTACGTCAACGGCGTTTACAAGTGTGAAAACTCTTCGTTTGACGTCAGCGATGTCTTGCTTGTACTTCTTGTACTACAGAAAAAGTAGAAAGAACACTAAATTCGTATCATTTTACCCCACAAGCGCATATTCGTGCTACTGCTGTGGCGAATTCAAATGAATTTGGCCGGAAGTAGCATAAAAAAAAGTTACAAGAAAAAAACTAATCAACTTGGAAATATCAGTCTGTAATTATATAAAATTAGGATTTGAAGCTTTCTGCGTGTTTCCCAATATACTATCTCACTCCGAACCACTTTTAGCGCATTGTCGCGGTTTCAGATGACTTGTTTCATAAGTAGAAATGCATTAAAGTATATTTAATTGGAGGTTTTAAGAAATCTGTTTACTTACCACGACGTTGTCAACGATAAGCATCAACTCCGTGTATCGAGTTTTTGTTGTTTTCAAGTATTTCTTATACACTTCCCCTTCTGCTTCTCGTTTACTCTAAACAGAAAACACAAAAATATAAAAAAGAAAGATATGCCATGTTTAGTATGTAGCTGAAATTTGATCTGCAAATCATGGAGGGCTGTGTCCATGATGTTATAGATACACCGCAAGCACTCTGTGCTCGACTATAATGATTGTGTAAGTACCCCCTGCGGACCTATTTCAAGTACAAGGTGCCCTGTGTGGTTTTTCTCCTCTGAAAACCTTTCGCTATCCAATATTCAAAGTGCTAATTACTTACCCTTGATGTTGTCTGTGAATATCTACGTTCCCTTGCAGTAGCATTTCCTCCTGGAATGGTTCCTTGGGAAAAAAAAAAACAGAAACAACAATAAGACACTGAAAATTTGACCACAATCACCAACTGTTGAGCAAACCAAGAGTACAAATGAGATGGTACAGTCAAAGGTAGGGAGGGTCAATTTCCTACTATAATGCATGTTTGTATTTAATAAGTAACAGCTTACCACATGAAAATCTTTTCAACTTGCCATCTTTTGTTTTAAATATCTTGTGTGCTCCTTTGCCCTAAAGCATAATGGTAAAAGAATCACTCCTAGAGATATTTTCTGAACTTTGTCTTCAATGAGTGACAATCAAGGCAAACCTTAGTAGGATATGGTTCGATGTACATTTGTCCTTCTTCGTCTTCGATCAATCCGCTGGAAATAAAACAAACTAGAAATAAGATGGTTTATAAATCTCTACAGTAGGAGCCGATCCTCAGTTGTGCCTTGAATAACCTCCGACATCCGTATTGTGCAAAAAGCTATTTTAGCGATAAGTGTCGTTGAATATTACCTGAGTCCATGGCAGGTGTCAATAATAACAGTTGACTCCGCCTCTTGACCTTTCACGTGACCTTGATATTGGCAGTTAGGTGGGGCCTCCTGTTGTAATGATTACAATTGATAATGAAAATATCAAAATTTACTTCACTCTTAGTAATTTCATAGTGGGAGGTAAAGTGATTTAATTTACCTGTTGCTGGACCAGTTCTCCGTCTTCATTAAAATAACGAAGTGTAAAATTCGATGTAGAAACTAACCTGGTAGACAAACAAACTGTTAAATTATTCTGTAACCTACTGGACAAGAAAAAATTCAAAATATTTCATATGGTTATGAAATGACACTTTCTTAATTGGTTAGTGGTACCTTGCATCTAAGGTTGTCATATTTCTAAAAACTTAGCAACTGTCTCCACAAGACTCTTCTTTTAATCACGTTCTGTACATCAGAGACGTCAGTCATCAATGAAACTGTTCTTGTCGTACTGACAGAAGATATCTGAAACTTTGGTCTAACGTAAAATGAAAAATCACACCACGCTGAGGTACTTACTTGTTAAGATGAATGTCGACAACAACCTCTTTACCAAACGCTTTCAATTTAAAAGACGCCTGCTCGTCATGGCCATTCTGGTATAAAAAGATGAATTGACTACTTACTAAAATTGTCAGACATTGATTTGTTTATGTCTGGTGGCGGTTCTTGAGGTGATGCTGTGAATGATGCTTAAGATAATGATGATGACGAGGAGGATAATGTTGATGACGAAGATGACAGCATGATAAGGATAACGACGACGACGACGACGATGTGATGATAGCGGCGGCGGCGGCGGCAGGGAGGGGTGGTGGTGGTGGTGATGATGTTGATGATAATGATGGTGTTGGTGGCGGTGGTGGTGATGATGACGATGATGATGATGATGCGGAACAACCTATAATTTCTCCATAAAAAAATCCGTTTAAGAAATTAAGCTGCATGTCATAAGAATCAAGTACATGTACTAGCGGATGATATAGAGACCAATAACTAGAATTTATACTTAGGCTTCAGGGTTAAATACCTTTGTTCCTGTGGTTAAATCTCTCTTCATGCGCCCTTTATCAAGTCTCTCAGGAAACACGATATCGAAATTGTCATCAATATCCTCTGAAAATGTCAAAATGATTCATTGTATCACGCTAATTAAGAATAACTGAAGTAAACACTTTCTTTCCAACAACGCATGTCGTAAAAAACTATGATTTTAAACTTGGCGTTTCATATGCTTCGCTCGACTGTACAGCGCGATGATGTATGGAAATAATATACGGTACCTTCATAAGCGAGATGTGACTCAATGCCAGTCCACCACGCTGCTATGACAAGGCACAATGACAAGAACTCTAACCAATGAAAGCATTTCATGTTAGCATTTAAGAGTTCCTCCTCACATTTATCAATACATACACGAGCAAAAAGATTATGGAAAAAATTATAAATCAATAATGTCTTGTGAGAATTCTCACAACTAAAATGTAAAGAAATGTATGTAATCATTAAGGAGAATTAGTATTTTGAATTTTGAACAGACTAGTATAAACAGGTCCGTTTTCCACGCTCCTGCACGCTCCATATAAGGGGAAAATGACTCCTCTCTCACTTGGAAAGATTTGCGTGTAGACTGAATTAAATTTTTGTTTATGTAATGTCAATATAAGTTATGTAATGTCAGTATCAGTCATGACCACTCTTCCGTGCCATTACAAGTGACAGAATTGTGGTTTACTTCGCGATCACACGAAAAAACTCTACTTTTATTTTGTGACCAGAAACGAGCTGAGATGATAAAAATATTCAGTTTTAAACTTATGAACACTATATGCACAGCCCTTTCGTAAGCAGTTGGTCTCTTGCCAAAATGAAACAGTGACAAAGACTGAGGTTGAATAGTACCTTCTTTTCCATATTTAGTTAACATATGAAACAAAATACTCGTTTCACGAAACCAAGAAAGGTAACAAACCTTTAAACTTCATTGTCCAGAGAAAGCCTTCACACGCGATGACACAAACAACCAAATGATTTTGCGACAGAAAGCAAGTCTGATTTGTACGACCCCGGCTGCCTTCTGCCAAAACGTTTACTCAGACATATAGGACAATGGCCCGAATAGCTGCGGGAATTACATATTGTTTTATACCTGGTGTATTAACTTACTTAGTACTCAAATAACGGTGTGTAGACAGAACCGGGGGGGCATGCTTTGGGGATTTCCATGTTCACGGAATTTTTTTAACCAAAACTTTAGACCCAAGGTGTTGTTGTCCTGTTCAACTCATTTGAGTATCTTCAGATCGAAGGAAAAGAACAAAATTACTAAATTCCAATTCTATCTGGAAACCTCAAACGACTGGTTGTCAGTCGTAAGACTGTTGTCTGCTTCCCTCGTTAAACAAATGGTATTTTAATAACAATTTAAGACGCACAATTCGATTGATTTTCATTTGTTCGGATTTAGGAACCTTCAAGTTCCTTTTTTGCGCGAGAGGAAGAGGGGAAGTAAGAAGTAATTCTCGATCCTTTCACACTCGAGATTGAAATATTTTAAACCTTTGAATCCCTGTCAAGGAAAGGTACACATGCCCATACATAAGTCAGTGTGCCACAAGACGAACCCCGATTCTATTTGAGGTAGCCTCTGGCTCGTGTTTTGGATTCTTTCCCTTAAACACCTACATTGTCTCCCGCCAGTTTATTATCTTTTTTTCCTCTAGATGAATTGCTTTGTTCTCTGCATGAAAATGAAACAAAATCGAACTCGAAAAATAAACAATCCATTCTTGGCGCAAGTTCATGCTGAGACCCGGCCGGGGTGTAAAACATTAATTTCCATTTTCGTTGTATTAACTGTACAACTAACTAACTACAAAACGAGAGTCTGGATGTTGTGAGTTGGAACTAACGTTAAAAATGCTGTTCTTTAGGGCGGCATTGAATATTGGGGCAAAATCAATAGTGATTATTTGTCGGTATAAATGTATGATGAACTAATTATCATTCTTTACGGTTGAAGGGGTTTAAGGTCAAGCTATTTTTGTCCATTTATGTTTCTTAGAACGCTTTATTCATCATTACTCTGATCATTGCTACACATAATTATATCAGTCTACATCTATATCTACATCCACACTTAGTTAAGTCGGTAAAAATCGTGAGATATCACACCAACTGTGAATTTTCAACAGACTCGTTGGGCAGGTCATGAACTCTGGTACATTTACTGATAACAAACCTAACTAACCGCTACAGATTTTTTATATTATTACTGCCCGCCAAAAAAACGCTCAGTTATAACATCAACTGATTTATTTCCCGTAGCATCAGCTAATTTAGCAGGGATGTCTTCTGGCTCAAATTTCTGGTTTGTTTGACATCGCAGATCTTTCTTTTCCCCTAATATTATATCCTTTACAATTTGTGCAACTTCTTCACAGTTCTGCATGGCGTCGCTGAATGCGCGGTCCAAATTTGCTTGCGCCGCTTCAAACAGACTTTTGGTCTTGGGGTCAATAGTCGTTGCGTCCAGGTTTTCTTGAATCCAGTCGCTCGCTTTCTCAAATATAGGAGTCTGCACTGGTCCTGGTTCCAACAAGCAGCACCTAACAACAACAAAAAAACTTCAGAAGTAAGCGCACGACTGCGTACCAGGACCTCTCTACCAGAAAAGCAGACTGTGGAACGCCCGACTAACCCGCGATGGTTTTGATCGAGTGAAATTTTATCCAAATTGTAGTCTAATGATCGTGGCGCTTTAAGTCAGATTGTCACGACAATTCGCCACAGAGGAAACAAGTGCGCGTTGTAAGAGGAAAGTACCTTGCCCATGCAAGCACATAACACAAGGGCGCTGGGGCCAGTTTCTCGAAGGTCCCGAAAACTTTTCGGGCCCTGAAAGCCATAGCAAAATCTTGAACCCTACCATTACAGAGCTGTTTTATTCACATATTTTTTAACGTGAAGAGAGGTTCCCTTCATACAAGAAGTTTTAGGCGTATACACTTCTCCGTTTCTAGATACGGATGAACTAAAACTGGCTTTACGGGCCCGAAAAGCTTCCGGGGCTTTCGAGAAACGGGCCCCTGGTCAGGGTCTAACCGGTTTGAACCTGAAAAACAGGTTTAATTCGTCGATCTGAAGCGTGCACGTTGAAGGGTATAATGGGAAGAATCACACCTGCCGGGGTGGGGTTTGATGTCAGCCCTGAGAGACCGAAAAATGCTGTGTACGCAATTTCACTAATAAGTATCACTAGCGGAGAGCTTAGGAGCATACAAGTAAAACTAGTATCAACGGACAGCTGTTTCTGAACTTGTTGAATTGAGAGAGGGACTCAATTTGCAATACAGAATCAGACACTTTCCCAAGGCAGTCCCTTCTTGAATCCAAGCAGCAATGCAGGATCCCAGGACAGTGTCAACTGCCCAATTTATTTTTTAAATTCTCAGCTCACAGGACTTACGCGTTTGGTTTACATTGTTTAATATAAGAATCACCGAAAAGGTTGTTGTTGTACGTCGTGGTAAAGTACAACAGAAATAGCAAAGTATTATGACTTGCCAAGGTCTGGCATGTACTCAAGTTTTAATCACGATGATGCATGTGTATTTCAAAGAAAGGCCTCTGTGCTAAGACGTGAATATCATTTGATTACACGGGGAAAAACACTAATAACTTAAGATATATTTTCACCTGATATTGAACTGACGAAGTATCGGAGCCATACTCTCGGTCAGACCTTCAAGGGCAAACTTTGACGAGCAGTAAACTTCCACAAAAGGTATTCCAACAATTCCAAAATGGCTGCTGTTGTTGATAATAAGCCCGCTTTGCCTCGCTTTCATTCCAGGAAGCACAGCCTGGATCAAGCGAAAAGCTCCAAAGTAGTTCACGTCAAACACTTCCTTGGCAATTTTCATGGGAACACATTCCATGGGGGTCAACAAACTGATACCGGCGTTATTGACTGTAAATAATAAACGATTGAAACATGACTACGGCGAAGTAAAATCGTGTAACTCACAAAATACAAAGACTGACAGTGTCACTGACTCAAGCATCATACTCGAAGAGACGAACTCACGACCTTCCGGTTACTTATCCAGACTCTACCACTGAGTTGGCTAAGGCCATTAAAATTAACAAATTGAGGTCAGTTTTTCATGCGTCTGTCCTGTTATTGATCATGAATTTCGTCATAACATATGCGTCGTCAAAGTAGCTGTGGATCCACGAGGCGATCCACGACAAAATTCATTCTCAATAACAGGACAGACGCATTAAAAACTGACTTCAATTTGTTTTTTTTTTACGATGACAAATTGTCAAATTGTCCACTCTCGCTCGTTGACACATCGCATAAATTGTAAATTCATGTGTCTGTCCGCTTATTGACAATGAAAATTTGCCAATGCGCGCGCGAGAATTTCTGCAGTTATCGTGAAACGGGTTCTTCGGACAAACATCATGCATTCTGCTTGGAGTGGTCTGTATAGCACTGTATATAACTATGTATATAAACATTGTAAGTGGCATATTCGCAGTAAATTATAATAAATGTGATGGTCGATCTTTAGCCTGGTATGAGAAGATTATTTTTCTGTCAGTAGCACAGCCATAATCTGAAAAGGATTTTCGAGTTTTCCGGGTGTAATCCAGTAATCCAGGTGATCTACTTGATTGAGGAAGATTGGCCGTCTTAGTCTTCCTCGATCTTTAAAGATCGGAGGAAGACTGGGATAGCTTAAGGCTTAACTCAGCATCCTTGTTACTTTTTGTTTTTACATTTCGAGGTTTCATTCTTTCAGAAGTTAATCTGTTACACCACAAAAAATTATTTTAAGTAACGTTTGATTGAATGTTCTTCTTTCCTTTGAAAACATATGTTAATTAAAAAATGAGAATGTTGTGCTTGTGCGCATATCAGAATGAAACTCCGGAGAAAATTCAGCGGATTTCAAAAGTTTAAAATTTTCAGAAGTTGAAAGTTCAAACTCAGAGGTTTCATCGATCCGACAATCTAAAACTGAGGAGTCAGTTGTATTCAACTTATTTGTAAAATAAAGTCAATAGAGTGCAATATACAACATTATATAACTTTGTTTACAGAAGTCTTTGATAACGAACCTACAACCAATCAGAGCAGAGTTATATGATAACAAATTTCATTATTGCTAATGATACGTATTTTCATAAATATTTCATAAATCTAAAAATATAAATTCAACCCTGTAAGGATTCTTTTTCAAATTTTATATCATCTTGCATGATTTAGGTGATGGCTGAGCTGTATTACTCTTATCTGTACAAACTATGTAAACTTGTGGTTTGAAACAAGATATCGACATAACAAACCATCAAGATGACGGGCTAAGAGAAGCGAATTATCACTTTGAAACAAATTAGCGGAGCATGACCGGTCAGGAAAAAAAACCATTCTTTTATCACGGACAGACTTCGACGACAGTCTCGCTTCTTTAATTGCATGGAAAGCCAGGAGATACAGGCTATATTTGATATGTGTAATAGTATGTGATTGGTTTCTCTTTTAGCAGCTTTAAAAGTACATATAATACTGATTCATCGGACTGTCCAGGTGTTGACTAATGTCCTCGTTTAATATACGAAAACAAAATATCTGAGTAGCTGTGAATCAGCGCGGAACAAACTTACACAACACATCAATCCTTCCCTCAGCGTCCAGCACTTCTTTTACAGCTTTCTCGACTGAATGAAGTGGTCTTAATCGAATGTCAGTGTGAAGTCTCGCGTAAAATACCTAATGGCTTAACCAGACCACTTAGTAACGTAAGGACCAAAAAGTTTTACCTGGTTCCTACGCTTACAGATCCGACACTGTCGACCCGTGATTCACCGTACACAAAGTGAAGGAGGTTTCACTCTTTTTCTCACCTTAGAAGATGAACACTGTCATATGCCACACCAGCTTGGTTGCTTAAGCGATGATTCTCAAAGTTCCTCAAATCTTCGCCGGCTTTCTTCACGAAAGGTATGTGATCCTTGTCCGTCCAAATTTCCAATGCTGATAACACAACTCGAATGTTAATTTTCTGATAAATCTGTAACACGAATGAGAACAAACAAAGAATAAACAACTAAATTAGAGCTGGAGAGTTCTTGTTCATGGATGAGGGAGAAGCCTGTTGTTGACAACTCTTAGCCAGCTTGATTGCTTTGTCTCGTCGTGCTAAGGTAGGTAGGTTAAGTCCGCACACGAGCCAAGTGGCCTATGAGGCCGGAGTTTATCCCGGTTTCCGTAGCATGAGGCCACTAGGACTATTTCTACTCCCCCCTGGATAGGATGCTAGTCCATGGCAGGGTTACCCCCAGCATTAAATTCACCGGTTTATACATTTATACACCTGGGTGGAGAGAGGCACTGTGATAGTAAAGTGTCTTGCCCAAGAACACAACACAGTGGCACCTGTCAGAGCTCGAGCCCGGACCGCTCGATCCGGAAACGAGCGCACTAACCATGAGGCCACCGCGCCTCTACCTTGTCGTGCTAAGAAACTGGTAAAACCGGTTTTCATTAGAACTTACTACGTCAACGGCGTTTACAAGTGTGAAAACTCTTCGTTTGACGTCAGCGATGTCTTGCTTGTACTTCTTGTACTACAGAAAAAGTAGAAAGAACACTAAATTCGTATCATTTTACCCCACAAGCGCATATTCGTGCTACTGCTGTGGCGAATTCAAATGAATTTGGCCGGAAGTAGCATAAAAAAAAGTTACAAGAAAAAAACTAATCAACTTGGAAATATCAGTCTGTAATTATATAAAATTAGGATTTGAAGCTTTCTGCGTGTTTCCCAATATACTATCTCACTCCGAACCACTTTTAGCGCATTGTCGCGGTTTCAGATGACTTGTTTCATAAGTAGAAATGCATTAAAGTATATTTAATTGGAGGTTTTAAGAAATCTGTTTACTTACCACGACGTTGTCAACGATAAGCATCAACTCCGTGTATCGAGTTTTTGTTGTTTTCAAGTATTTCTTATACACTTCCCCTTCTGCTTCTCGTTTACTCTAAACAGAAAACACAAAAATATAAAAAAGAAAGATATGCCATGTTTAGTATGTAGCTGAAATTTGATCTGCAAATCATGGAGGGCTGTGTCCATGATGTTATAGATACACCGCAAGCACTCTGTGCTCGACTATAATGATTGTGTAAGTACCCCCTGCGGACCTATTTCAAGTACAAGGTGCCCTGTGTGGTTTTTCTCCTCTGAAAACCTTTCGCTATCCAATATTCAAAGTGCTAATTACTTACCCTTGATGTTGTCTGTGAATATCTACGTTCCCTTGCAGTAGCATTTCCTCCTGGAATGGTTCCTTGGGAAAAAAAAAAACAGAAACAACAATAAGACACTGAAAATTTGACCACAATCACCAACTGTTGAGCAAACCAAGAGTACAAATGAGATGGTACAGTCAAAGGTAGGGAGGGTCAATTTCCTACTATAATGCATGTTTGTATTTAATAAGTAACAGCTTACCACATGAAAATCTTTTCAACTTGCCATCTTTTGTTTTAAATATCTTGTGTGCTCCTTTGCCCTAAAGCATAATGGTAAAAGAATCACTCCTAGAGATATTTTCTGAACTTTGTCTTCAATGAGTGACAATCAAGGCAAACCTTAGTAGGATATGGTTCGATGTACATTTGTCCTTCTTCGTCTTCGATCAATCCGCTGGAAATAAAACAAACTAGAAATAAGATGGTTTATAAATCTCTACAGTAGGAGCCGATCCTCAGTTGTGCCTTGAATAACCTCCGACATCCGTATTGTGCAAAAAGCTATTTTAGCGATAAGTGTCGTTGAATATTACCTGAGTCCATGGCAGGTGTCAATAATAACAGTTGACTCCGCCTCTTGACCTTTCACGTGACCTTGATATTGGCAGTTAGGTGGGGCCTCCTGTTGTAATGATTACAATTGATAATGAAAATATCAAAATTTACTTCACTCTTAGTAATTTCATAGTGGGAGGTAAAGTGATTTAATTTACCTGTTGCTGGACCAGTTCTCCGTCTTCATTAAAATAACGAAGTGTAAAATTCGATGTAGAAACTAACCTGGTAGACAAACAAACTGTTAAATTATTCTGTAACCTACTGGACAAGAAAAAATTCAAAATATTTCATATGGTTATGAAATGACACTTTCTTAATTGGTTAGTGGTACCTTGCATCTAAGGTTGTCATATTTCTAAAAACTTAGCAACTGTCTCCACAAGACTCTTCTTTTAATCACGTTCTGTACATCAGAGACGTCAGTCATCAATGAAACTGTTCTTGTCGTACTGACAGAAGATATCTGAAACTTTGGTCTAACGTAAAATGAAAAATCACACCACGCTGAGGTACTTACTTGTTAAGATGAATGTCGACAACAACCTCTTTACCAAACGCTTTCAATTTAAAAGACGCCTGCTCGTCATGGCCATTCTGGTATAAAAAGATGAATTGACTACTTACTAAAATTGTCAGACATTGATTTGTTTATGTCTGGTGGCGGTTCTTGAGGTGATGCTGTGAATGATGCTTAAGATAATGATGATGACGAGGAGGATAATGTTGATGACGAAGATGACAGCATGATAAGGATAACGACGACGACGACGACGATGTGATGATAGCGGCGGCGGCGGCGGCAGGGAGGGGTGGTGGTGGTGGTGATGATGTTGATGATAATGATGGTGTTGGTGGCGGTGGTGGTGATGATGACGATGATGATGATGATGCGGAACAACCTATAATTTCTCCATAAAAAAATCCGTTTAAGAAATTAAGCTGCATGTCATAAGAATCAAGTACATGTACTAGCGGATGATATAGAGACCAATAACTAGAATTTATACTTAGGCTTCAGGGTTAAATACCTTTGTTCCTGTGGTTAAATCTCTCTTCATGCGCCCTTTATCAAGTCTCTCAGGAAACACGATATCGAAATTGTCATCAATATCCTCTGAAAATGTCAAAATGATTCATTGTATCACGCTAATTAAGAATAACTGAAGTAAACACTTTCTTTCCAACAACGCATGTCGTAAAAAACTATGATTTTAAACTTGGCGTTTCATATGCTTCGCTCGACTGTACAGCGCGATGATGTATGGAAATAATATACGGTACCTTCATAAGCGAGATGTGACTCAATGCCAGTCCACCACGCTGCTATGACAAGGCACAATGACAAGAACTCTAACCAATGAAAGCATTTCATGTTAGCATTTAAGAGTTCCTCCTCACATTTATCAATACATACACGAGCAAAAAGATTATGGAAAAAATTATAAATCAATAATGTCTTGTGAGAATTCTCACAACTAAAATGTAAAGAAATGTATGTAATCATTAAGGAGAATTAGTATTTTGAATTTTGAACAGACTAGTATAAACAGGTCCGTTTTCCACGCTCCTGCACGCTCCATATAAGGGGAAAATGACTCCTCTCTCACTTGGAAAGATTTGCGTGTAGACTGAATTAAATTTTTGTTTATGTAATGTCAATATAAGTTATGTAATGTCAGTATCAGTCATGACCACTCTTCCGTGCCATTACAAGTGACAGAATTGTGGTTTACTTCGCGATCACACGAAAAAACTCTACTTTTATTTTGTGACCAGAAACGAGCTGAGATGATAAAAATATTCAGTTTTAAACTTATGAACACTATATGCACAGCCCTTTCGTAAGCAGTTGGTCTCTTGCCAAAATGAAACAGTGACAAAGACTGAGGTTGAATAGTACCTTCTTTTCCATATTTAGTTAACATATGAAACAAAATACTCGTTTCACGAAACCAAGAAAGGTAACAAACCTTTAAACTTCATTGTCCAGAGAAAGCCTTCACACGCGATGACACAAACAACCAAATGATTTTGCGACAGAAAGCAAGTCTGATTTGTACGACCCCGGCTGCCTTCTGCCAAAACGTTTACTCAGACATATAGGACAATGGCCCGAATAGCTGCGGGAATTACATATTGTTTTATACCTGGTGTATTAACTTACTTAGTACTCAAATAACGGTGTGTAGACAGAACCGGGGGGGCATGCTTTGGGGATTTCCATGTTCACGGAATTTTTTTAACCAAAACTTTAGACCCAAGGTGTTGTTGTCCTGTTCAACTCATTTGAGTATCTTCAGATCGAAGGAAAAGAACAAAATTACTAAATTCCAATTCTATCTGGAAACCTCAAACGACTGGTTGTCAGTCGTAAGACTGTTGTCTGCTTCCCTCGTTAAACAAATGGTATTTTAATAACAATTTAAGACGCACAATTCGATTGATTTTCATTTGTTCGGATTTAGGAACCTTCAAGTTCCTTTTTTGCGCGAGAGGAAGAGGGGAAGTAAGAAGTAATTCTCGATCCTTTCACACTCGAGATTGAAATATTTTAAACCTTTGAATCCCTGTCAAGGAAAGGTACACATGCCCATACATAAGTCAGTGTGCCACAAGACGAACCCCGATTCTATTTGAGGTAGCCTCTGGCTCGTGTTTTGGATTCTTTCCCTTAAACACCTACATTGTCTCCCGCCAGTTTATTATCTTTTTTTCCTCTAGATGAATTGCTTTGTTCTCTGCATGAAAATGAAACAAAATCGAACTCGAAAAATAAACAATCCATTCTTGGCGCAAGTTCATGCTGAGACCCGGCCGGGGTGTAAAACATTAATTTCCATTTTCGTTGTATTAACTGTACAACTAACTAACTACAAAACGAGAGTCTGGATGTTGTGAGTTGGAACTAACGTTAAAAATGCTGTTCTTTAGGGCGGCATTGAATATTGGGGCAAAATCAATAGTGATTATTTGTCGGTATAAATGTATGATGAACTAATTATCATTCTTTACGGTTGAAGGGGTTTAAGGTCAAGCTATTTTTGTCCATTTATGTTTCTTAGAACGCTTTATTCATCATTACTCTGATCATTGCTACACATAATTATATCAGTCTACATCTATATCTACATCCACACTTAGTTAAGTCGGTAAAAATCGTGAGATATCACACCAACTGTGAATTTTCAACAGACTCGTTGGGCAGGTCATGAACTCTGGTACATTTACTGATAACAAACCTAACTAACCGCTACAGATTTTTTATATTATTACTGCCCGCCAAAAAAACGCTCAGTTATAACATCAACTGATTTATTTCCCGTAGCATCAGCTAATTTAGCAGGGATGTCTTCTGGCTCAAATTTCTGGTTTGTTTGACATCGCAGATCTTTCTTTTCCCCTAATATTATATCCTTTACAATTTGTGCAACTTCTTCACAGTTCTGCATGGCGTCGCTGAATGCGCGGTCCAAATTTGCTTGCGCCGCTTCAAACAGACTTTTGGTCTTGGGGTCAATAGTCGTTGCGTCCAGGTTTTCTTGAATCCAGTCGCTCGCTTTCTCAAATATAGGAGTCTGCACTGGTCCTGGTTCCAACAAGCAGCACCTAACAACAACAAAAAAACTTCAGAAGTAAGCGCACGACTGCGTACCAGGACCTCTCTACCAGAAAAGCAGACTGTGGAACGCCCGACTAACCCGCGATGGTTTTGATCGAGTGAAATTTTATCCAAATTGTAGTCTAATGATCGTGGCGCTTTAAGTCAGATTGTCACGACAATTCGCCACAGAGGAAACAAGTGCGCGTTGTAAGAGGAAAGTACCTTGCCCATGCAAGCACATAACACAAGGGCGCTGGGGCCAGTTTCTCGAAGGTCCCGAAAACTTTTCGGGCCCTGAAAGCCATAGCAAAATCTTGAACCCTACCATTACAGAGCTGTTTTATTCACATATTTTTTAACGTGAAGAGAGGTTCCCTTCATACAAGAAGTTTTAGGCGTATACACTTCTCCGTTTCTAGATACGGATGAACTAAAACTGGCTTTACGGGCCCGAAAAGCTTCCGGGGCTTTCGAGAAACGGGCCCCTGGTCAGGGTCTAACCGGTTTGAACCTGAAAAACAGGTTTAATTCGTCGATCTGAAGCGTGCACGTTGAAGGGTATAATGGGAAGAATCACACCTGCCGGGGTGGGGTTTGATGTCAGCCCTGAGAGACCGAAAAATGCTGTGTACGCAATTTCACTAATAAGTATCACTAGCGGAGAGCTTAGGAGCATACAAGTAAAACTAGTATCAACGGACAGCTGTTTCTGAACTTGTTGAATTGAGAGAGGGACTCAATTTGCAATACAGAATCAGACACTTTCCCAAGGCAGTCCCTTCTTGAATCCAAGCAGCAATGCAGGATCCCAGGACAGTGTCAACTGCCCAATTTATTTTTTAAATTCTCAGCTCACAGGACTTACGCGTTTGGTTTACATTGTTTAATATAAGAATCACCGAAAAGGTTGTTGTTGTACGTCGTGGTAAAGTACAACAGAAATAGCAAAGTATTATGACTTGCCAAGGTCTGGCATGTACTCAAGTTTTAATCACGATGATGCATGTGTATTTCAAAGAAAGGCCTCTGTGCTAAGACGTGAATATCATTTGATTACACGGGGAAAAACACTAATAACTTAAGATATATTTTCACCTGATATTGAACTGACGAAGTATCGGAGCCATACTCTCGGTCAGACCTTCAAGGGCAAACTTTGACGAGCAGTAAACTTCCACAAAAGGTATTCCAACAATTCCAAAATGGCTGCTGTTGTTGATAATAAGCCCGCTTTGCCTCGCTTTCATTCCAGGAAGCACAGCCTGGATCAAGCGAAAAGCTCCAAAGTAGTTCACGTCAAACACTTCCTTGGCAATTTTCATGGGAACACATTCCATGGGGGTCAACAAACTGATACCGGCGTTATTGACTGTAAATAATAAACGATTGAAACATGACTACGGCGAAGTAAAATCGTGTAACTCACAAAATACAAAGACTGACAGTGTCACTGACTCAAGCATCATACTCGAAGAGACGAACTCACGACCTTCCGGTTACTTATCCAGACTCTACCACTGAGTTGGCTAAGGCCATTAAAATTAACAAATTGAGGTCAGTTTTTCATGCGTCTGTCCTGTTATTGATCATGAATTTCGTCATAACATATGCGTCGTCAAAGTAGCTGTGGATCCACGAGGCGATCCACGACAAAATTCATTCTCAATCACAGGACAGACGCATTAAAAACTGACTTCAATTTGTTTTTTTTTTTACGATAACAAATTGTCAAATTGTCCACTCTCGCTCGTTGACACATCGCATAAATTGTAAATTCATGTGTCTGTCCGCTTATTGACAATGAAAATTTGCCAATGCGCGCGCGAGAATTTCTGCAGTTATCGTGAAACGGGTTCTTCGGACAAACATCATGCATTCTGCTTGGAGTGGTCTGTATAGCACTGTATATAACTATGTATATAAACATTGTAAGTGGCATATTCGCAGTAAATTATAATAAATGTGATGGTCGATCTTTAGCCTGGTATGAGAAGATTATTTTTCTGTCAGTAGCACAGCCATAATCTGAAAAGGATTTTCGAGTTTTCCGGGTGTAATCCAGTAATCCAGGTGATCTACTTGATTGAGGAAGATTGGCCGTCTTAGTCTTCCTCGATCTTTAAAGATCGGAGGAAGACTGGGATAGCTTAAGGCTTAACTCAGCATCCTTGTTACTTTTTGTTTTTACATTTCGAGGTTTCATTCTTTCAGAAGTTAATCTGTTACACCACAAAAAATTATTTTAAGTAACGTTTGATTGAATGTTCTTCTTTCCTTTGAAAACATATGTTAATTAAAAAATGAGAATGTTGTGCTTGTGCGCATATCAGAATGAAACTCCGGAGAAAATTCAGCGGATTTCAAAAGTTTAAAATTTTCAGAAGTTGAAAGTTCAAACTCAGAGGTTTCATCGATCCGACAATCTAAAACTGAGGAGTCAGTTGTATTCAACTTATTTGTAAAATAAAGTCAATAGAGTGCAATATACAACATTATATAACTTTGTTTACAGAAGTCTTTGATAACGAACCTACAACCAATCAGAGCAGAGTTATATGATAACAAATTTCATTATTGCTAATGATACGTATTTTCATAAATATTTCATAAATCTAAAAATATAAATTCAACCCTGTAAGGATTCTTTTTCAAATTTTATATCATCTTGCATGATTTAGGTGATGGCTGAGCTGTATTACTCTTATCTGTACAAACTATGTAAACTTGTGGTTTGAAACAAGATATCGACATAACAAACCATCAAGATGACGGGCTAAGAGAAGCGAATTATCACTTTGAAACAAATTAGCGGAGCATGACCGGTCAGGAAAAAAAACCATTCTTTTATCACGGACAGACTTCGACGACAGTCTCGCTTCTTTAATTGCATGGAAAGCCAGGAGATACAGGCTATATTTGATATGTGTAATAGTATGTGATTGGTTTCTCTTTTAGCAGCTTTAAAAGTACATATAATACTGATTCATCGGACTGTCCAGGTGTTGACTAATGTCCTCGTTTAATATACGAAAACAAAATATCTGAGTAGCTGTGAATCAGCGCGGAACAAACTTACACAACACATCAATCCTTCCCTCAGCGTCCAGCACTTCTTTTACAGCTTTCTCGACTGACTCATCACTACACACGTCCATCTGTTTGATGATCAATGTGTCTCCAAGACAGTCCTTTCCTTCTTCCTCCAGTTGTCCTTTCTTCGCCAGATTTCTCATGGTGGCGTAAACCTTGAAGCGTTTGTCAACATCTTTAGCGAGAAACACCGCTGTAGCGAGTCCCATTCCGGTAGAACAACCAGAAATCAGCACGATTTGGGAGGCCATGATCATGACTGGTGAGTGCACTTGTACGATGTTGATATTGACTTAGATACAAAGCTCTTAGATAAATACATGGGCACGAACACACCACTGCCTCTTGATATCATGGTACATTTTAAATTATTTTCAGATTATGGTAATTCACAGCTTTCACGACCTGAAAGTAATTAAAAGTGAGACTATTAATATAGGACACCATGTAACGCTTGCTAAATAATTTCGATCACCTAATAGCAGATAATAGTTACGTTAGTTTGTTGGTTACCGACTTTCCTAGTTTATCTTCACTTCAAAGGCGCATTTTTCACATAACTCACAATTTGTTACTGCCGGATTAATGTTTCATTTTAAAGAGGCTTAATTTGCAATGACAGATAACAAAAAGCTCAGAAATCGCATTTTCGTAAGTTTCTTATATTACTTTCTGCGCTCAAAAAAGCAATTTTTTCAGAGGCTAAAATTTACTATGCCAACTTGGAAAGTTCTTCTTTAAAAACAAAGCTTGTTTATTCAAGGAAACAAGCTGTTCTTATTAATGTTTAAATTGTACATACAAAATGATTTAGAATGCTTATAAGTTATTCTTCTTCCTTCCATGACATATCTGAGTATATTCTTCAATTTTCAAAACTGCGCGTGTTGCGAAAAAGATTTGAAGGATAATAAACACAATAGCCTTCATTTGACTTTGAAAATATGCTCGGATATTTGTCCGCGGACATTATCTGTTCGCTTCTCGGAACAGATAATGTCCGCGGATAAAATATCCGAGTATATTTTCGCGGCAAATGGAGGCTATTGTTTATGTATTTGCACCATACCTACTGAAACAGCAACTGGATCTTTCCGATCAAAAAACATTCTGGTCGATGTGGAAAAGACGATCTGTCGTCGTTAACCTGGCATCTACCCTCTGAAGGGGACTGGGGTTACAGGTACTTTTAAAACAAAGTTTACCGCCCGGTGTCCAAACTCTTGATATTGTATACCATGAAAAGGAAACCCTTTTGTTCTTGCCTTCCATAGAAAGTGGTACCCATTTCAGATCGATACTAACTACTTATTAACCGAGAGTGAGGTCTTTACGGAAAAATCTCAAACAGAGACCTTGCCGGCAAGACACTTTTGTATGTTCGGATATTGCCTGCATCAAAAACGGTGCACGAGCGAAAAAATTAAATTTCAATCCTACTCAGGGTTACGATAATGACGCGGTAAATGGCTTTAGGTTTACAGTGAGCAAAAAACCTCAGAGAACAGATATTTCAAGGAACAGATCTGTTCCATGCCCCTGTCCCTTTGCCCTTGTTCTAATTTACGCTGAGATCGTGTACAAGCTTTCAAAGAGACGAGATTCTTTAAAGACATGAATACTCAGAAAAAAAAACTTATCCTTGCTTTTGAAGAGCTGATCATGAAAAGTCGTGTGCATTCGGCCAACAGGGCAAACATTTCAGTAAAAGATGGTGAAGGACACTCTTGCCAAAGGTCGAAACAGTGCGATTCATGAGTGGTGTTGGTGCGTGTGAGAGGAATTGCTCTCAACCAACAAACAGTTTTAATTTCCACTAGTGATCAATACAATATTGATAGGAATACGTACGATGATGAAGTACGAAATCGTCGCTCCTGCTTCCGGGCGGGATAATCCCGAAAAAATTGGATGGGGGTGTGTAGCCCGCCCCCCAAAACCCTTACCCTACTTATGACCAAAATCTGCGATTTTCCCTACCCTATTTATGACCTGAAAAAGTAGCTTCTTCTAAAATACATACCCAGTTCATGACTAGAGTGCAAAAACCATACCCCATTTATGACCAAAATGGCTGGAAACCCTACCCTTTGGGGCCGCACATGCCTATATAGCCCATATAAGGGAGTACCCCTGCTCCACCAATACTGAGAACGGTTTCGTCATTTTTTACAGTACTTCATATTCACAATAATATGAACAAATTCTTTACATTCTTCCATTTATTATTCAAAGAAATCTGTGGCTACCAGCACCTCAATCATTGAGCGAGAAGGTTCTCCTATTTATTTCCATCCTCTCGTTTTTCAAACAGCTGTTTGCTTGTTATTTCAATCAGTTCATTAGTGGCAGGATCTTTGAACTTGGCTGCAATTTGATCAGCAAGAAAATCAGAGTGTGAATAACAACGAAAGTTGGTGTTTTGGCCAAGAATTATCCCTTTGATAAAGGCAGCCATTTCATTCGTTTCCATTTTCTCACTGCATAATTGCAGGAAATTTTCACCCCATATCTCCTTTAATTTCTTGGTTTTCTCATCCGCCGTGTCGTGGTCGATGGCTTTGCCCCAGTCTACTCCAGTCTGATGAATCTGGCTCTGCACGGGACCCGTCTCCAGTATCGTACACCTAGGAAAACAAAACAGAAAACAATACATGCCAGTTTATATTCATTTGTTTAGAGATTAACATTATAATGAATATATAAGGAAATGAGATGCGGTTTTATCCTTGGACGTCCAGAAGAAAACACAAGTCAGTTAACATTCCCGGGAGGTGAGTACTCCCAGAAAAATTTGGTGGGGGTGTGCAGCCCGCTTCCCAAAACCCTTACCCTCTTTATGACGAAAACTCCGTGATTTTCCCTACCCTATTTATGACCACACCAAAAATTCGACACCCTATTTATGACCGTTGTGGCTGACACGGTTGCCCTAAACATGATTTTTAAAGGGCTTTTGTTGATGGTCTTATCTATAATGATCAAAAAGTAGCTTCTTCTAAAAAACATACCCAATTCAAGACTAGAGTACAAAAACCATACCCTATTCATGACCAAAATGGCTAAAATCAATACCCTATTTATGACCAAAAGGGCTGAAAAACCATTCCCTTTCGGGCCACACACACCTATATAGCCCATATGAGGGGGTACCCCCCCCAACCCCCTGGTTAAGGAAATGAAATGCGACGGGCAGAAAAAAAACACAAGAAGTCACCGACTGATTCTTCTTCTCTTCTTCGGCGATTTTTGATGGCCTGCAAACTGAAGCAATTGGAACAGCAGACCGAAAACCGCATCACCCGAGGGGAACAAGGAGAGAGTGTAGCCAGAAAGGAAGAATAATCCCGAGATGTGCTCACGGGCACAGGCTCCCCTGTCACCTATGGTATCTACACCCAGGTTACCCTCTCTGACACAACCAGGGTTCTTATGGCTCGTGGGAAGCACATGGGAAAATTACGTAAAATGCAAAAGAGTCGCACAATCTCTGGAAACAGTACGACCCAGGGGATCTCTTGTTCAAAGCCAAGTTGCCGTCCCGAAAACTTCCCTTTGTTTTGAAGAAGGGATCTAGGAACGACGGCGTCCTGTCCCCAGGCTCCCTAGGTTATTACTTTCATCGTAATAGATAGCTAGGCTCCGTCCAGTACCTTCTAAACTGTTACCTGATGTCAAACTGCCATAGGAGTGGAGCCAAGGATTCACTCAACCCTTCAACAGCAAACTTTGATGCACAGTAAATATCAACAAACGGTGTCCCCACTATCCCTCCCACGGAGCTGTGGTTGATGATGTGCCCACTTTGCCTCGCTTTCATGCTCGGTAACACTGCCTTGATTAAGCGGAGAGTGCCAAAGAAATTCACGTTAAACATGTCTTGTGCCATACTGATAGGGACACACTCTAATGCGGAGAAAAAACCGTAGCCAGCATTGTTGACTGAAAGACAAAAAGTGTAATCTGTGAAAATTCTTTTTCCTGTGTGAACGTTGCGATGAATTTGTCCTCAGCTCATCTACAGGAGATATTTTGAAAGACCCCTTTAACATTTAAATCTTTGCTGTACTTCAGTTCGTGAAATCCCTGTAATTTCATACACCTCTAACACACAAAATTTGCATGGAAATTAATGGATTTTCCGTCAAAAACACGTCAGTGAAGAATAGATCGTATACATTAACATTTTTTACATTTTACGTCAAAAGAAAGCCACCAATACGTAATAGTATTTATTCTGATCTATTGTATCCCGTGTAAATTAAACTTCTCTAAGCAAATGGTGGAATTAACCCCTAAAAAATCCGCCCCTAAACACGTTTCGTTCAAAGAGGACTGCTGACTGAGGCGGTTATGTAAAACAAAAACAAATAATCTTTTTATTTTACCTGTCACATAACATTGTTCTCGATACTCAAAATCACGGAATCGTAACACCGATGTTTTCAACATTTACCATAATTTGTTACCCACTGATAGCTATCAAAAATACAGCAGATTCGTGGATAATGTCGAGATGATCAATATTTCCAATAGCGTTAGCAATAGTATCGATATCATAGAGACGTTGATGTTATATCTACGTCTATTAAGGACGAAGCTGCAGGCTATTTAGGGATAAAACTTAGCCATTTAACTCCGTTTAACTTACACAACACATCAATCCTTCCCTCAGCGTCCAGCACTTCTTTTACAGCTTTCTCGACTGATTCATCGCTACACACGTCCATCTGTTTGATGATCAATGTGTCTCCAAGACAGTCCTTTCCTTCTTCCTCCAGTTGTCCTTTCTTCGCCAGATTTCTCATGGTGGCGTAAACCTTGAAGCGTTTGTCA